TCCATAACAACTCCTTTTTTCAAACATATATTGCAGACTGTAGAAGATGTTTTGGGTAGAAACTTGGTTTACTGAGTTGTTTGGTTTATCAGGGGTCCCCACCCCTATCATCCCCTGCCGCACAGCAGGAGGTGAGCAGTAGGTGAGCCAAAGCTTCATCTGTAATTGCAACCCGCTCCCAGAGCTAGCATCACTGCCTCAGCTCCACCTCAGATGATCAGGAATTAGATTCTCATAGGAGCACCAGTCCCTGGTGCCAAAAAGGTTGGGGACCACTGGTTTGCATAATTATTAAATGCAGAAAATCTGATATCAAATCTAAAGCTTAAAATGGACACCTAATGGCTTAAAGAAAATAGAAATTGAATAGACTCACTAAAAATGGAGGTCTTTGTTGTCAAGTTAGATTCAGTTTGTGAAAGGCATTTCTCCCTTAACACTTTTTAGTATTCCAAGAAAATGAAGAAGGCCCTCTTTTCTAGAGGGATGTTTGATGCCTTTTAGCTTTTCAGTTTCTAACTGTTCCACCAGCACAGCACTCAGCCTTCAATCTAAAATGTTTGAAAACATGGTCTGGTTTTGTGGTGATTAAGTGACACAAGGTAGTGCATTTTGATTTGGTGCAACTTCCTGCCAAAAGTTGTGTTATTCAGAATGTTTTGTCCAATCAGAAAGAGACTCATAGATACTCATAGAGAGCAAACTGATGGTTGCTAGATTGAAAGGGGTTGGTATGGGTGAAAAAAGGGAAGAGATTAAGAAGTACAAGTTGGCAGTTACAAAATAGTCACGGGGATGTAAAGTACAGCTTAGGGAATATAGTCAGTAATATTGTAATAAGTACACATACATAGTGTCAAGTGCCTGCTAGGCTAATAGGTAGGATCACTTTATAAATTATATAAATGCCTCACCACTGTGCTGTATACCTGTTATAAAATAATATTGAATGTAAACTCTAATTGAAAAGCAAAATTAAAAAGTGCTGTGTCACTGTTATTAATAAAGTCTGTTTCAAGGCAGTGCTCAGCCATTTCCATCTGTTTCCTGGCATTGAACGTCATCCTTCTGTGGAATAGGACACCTGCCATTGACAGCAGACTTGCAGCTTACTTTCCAAGCTGATTTCTAATTCGTAGCTGCTTCTTACTCTTGTGAACCTCAGACTCTTCTCTGACAGTAGATAACAGCTGTATACTTGACACAGCTTGGTTTGTCCATAAATAATTTACACTGTCCCCTTTGGCTTTACTTCTGTCTTTGAGCAGCTCGTAATGGAAACAAACAGAACTAGCATGGCAGGTGCTTGGAAATTGTCATTTTATTTTTAAATCTACCTGTCTAGCCAAGCAGTCACACACTCCACTTAAAACAGACAAAATTCTAAGACGATCCGCAGACTCCAGGTCTTAGAACTGCATACACACCTCTTTCCAATTGTATTCAAACACTAATCTGGGTGTTGCTATAAAGGATTTGCAAATGTAATTAAAATCCCAAATCAATTGACCTTTAAGATGGGGAGGTGATGGGGGCCTGACCTGATCACCTGAGCCCTCTCAAATCTGGCAGAAACTGTCAGAAATGTCACATGGGAAGTGTGAGAGGCATTTGATGCAAGGGAGTTTCTTCGTGCTGGCTTTGGAAATGGGGCAGGGGGTGGGGGGCCACGTGGTAGGAGGCTGAGAGCAACCTGAACTTTGCCAGTGACCTGAATGAGCTTAGAAGGGGACTTTGAGCTTTGGTGAGTGAGACTCTGAGCAGAGAGAGCAGTCCTCCTGTTTTATTCGTGCTAGACTTTTGACTATCAAAATTGTAAGCTAATAACTGGTGGCACTATAAGCCTCTATGTAGTGATATGTTATGTAGCAGGAAATGTAGGCACCGCTTACTCCCTTCCAGGTGAGCACATGTCAGTTAGCACCCAGCCAAAGTTCCTCTCTCTCCAGCCTCCTGGTTCTGTACACATCTCCACAGGAGGCTGTCCCGTGGGCTCTGTCAGCAGGGCCATCAGGGAGAGCCCCGTCCGCTGCCATGGACCGCCCAGAACTTCAGGGGCCTGCTGTTGGAGCACGCAGGACTAGACTGGCCTGCTGACACCTTCCTGAGACCTTCCCTCAGATTCTTGTTCCTCCAGACTTCTTTGAGCAACTTAACTAGATGACCCTTCTCTTCTGAGCAAGGGTTTATTTCTGTAAGGTATGGCCCAAGACCTTTCCTACTTGATCCTGTAAGAAAGGGCTGCAAGGCAAAGGCAAGCGATCCACCCCTGATCCTGGGCTCCTAGGACTGGGAGGCTTGTCTCCTTAGCCCAGTCTTCTCCTGCAGGGGGCCATCTCCTAACTTGTCTTCTTAAAGTTTCCCCAGATTACCCAGCCAATTTACACCCTGTCTTTTTTATCTTAACTGAGATTGATTGCACAGATGTCACAGGAGGAAAACGTTAAGAATGAATTCACAGAGAGGCAAATGACTTGTTGTCACTTAATCTTCTACAGGACATTTGAATTATAAGAGCATATTTGTTGAAGAAAGCACATAATTGGTGAACTTTGCGGATTTAAGGGGAACATTGTTATTACTGTGCACCATTATTCTCCTTATACGTCTGTGTAAAGCTTGAGGAAGAAGAATCCATCTTCCATACTGTCTGTCTGCAGCTTCTCCCTGCGGCATCATGGCTGTAGTTTGAGGCCTCAGCTGGATCACCCACTTCCCTAATTGTGTTGTGGTCCTGTGACCCCACTTTGAATTCATGAGCCTGTTGGGTGAGGGGCCAGCTCCAGGGTTTGAGGAGTTTCTAAGGGTACTCAGCTCCCTGCTTCCAGACCCTAAGTATGTTGTCACAGACCACCCTCTGGATGCCCCTCCGTCCTTCCTCAGGACCCAAGCCCTAGTTCCACCTTTGGGTTTTTCCTCATGGCTGGACTATTAAGCCACAGACAGATGTTGGCCCTTGAGATGGCCGGGCTGTAAGCCAGGGGATGACTTGGCGCAGGTTTTGCTTCTCTGGAGAAGCGGAGCACATTTCCTGTGGGACCCCGCCCGGCCTGGCCTTCCCAGGATGAGAGTGCAGCAAATTGCCAGCTCTCAGCAGGGAAACATGGGTGTCCCTGTCCACACCCTCCCGCTTTGGCAAAAGATGGCGGCGTACCCAGCGATGAGCTCTCACAGGGAATATAGGACTTGGCCTAGGACTTAAAGGCACCAGAAAACATTTAATCTTAACAACAACAAAACTTTACATCAGCATTATAAAAAAATCCTCAAACTGGTACATGAAATGAACAGCAGCACAAACTGTTAGGAAAGCCTGAAAAGTATGTTATAAAAGGCAGTAGAGAGTCTTTATTTACATAATTTGGGGACCTCACACATATAAACCTGACTTTTTTGGATAATATGGAGAAAAGATATTGCTATTCCATTCTAGAAAAGATGAAATATTTAAAATAATCCAAGATTCAACAGTCGATGAAGCTTAAGAAGAAAATGAGTAAAGTGTTGGTGAATTAAATTTTGATGTTGTAGCTTATGTCATAAACCCTTTCGATCAAGAATTATTTTGTCTTTTTAAATTTGGGGTTTTGCTTATTATTTTTGCCCATATTCTTCAAATGTTTCTATGTCCCATTTTCCAAATAGTAACACTTCCAGCTGTGCCATGCATCTCCTTTTCTTTTGGTTTATAGCTGTATCTTTAAAAACATTCTAAATATACTTTTGCTGAATTCTGAACTAAATTGTCCATCCGATCTTGCAACTCATTAATAGATTTTTATCTGCCTATTCCAGCTATTATTTTTATATATTATATTTCTACACATGTTTTATAATGTTTTCTCTTGTTTTCTTGTTTCATTTTCCTAATATCTCACCATATCTCCTTAACATGTTACATTATACTTACTTTTAATTCTTGGTTCAACTTTTCCAGCTTCAGGTCTGCATTATTCGGCCTTTACAAGGTTATGCCATGACCACACCAACCCCAAATCTCAGTGGGATTTAGACTGAAAGGGTGCTCCTCTCTGGGAAATGCCATTTTCTTGGCAGAGGAAGAAGAGTACGAGAAGGCTCTTAAAACTTAATAATAGAGGCGACTTTGGCTCACATTTCTTTGGCCAAGCAAATCGCGCGGCCAAACCTAATGCTGCGGAGGGTGAAGTGTCATCCTCTCACAGGCCCCACCAGCAAACGGCACAGCGATGTAGTCTGTCCAGCATGGCATGTGTTTTCTAACACATTGTTCTCCACACAGATTCTGTTACTTGAGGTGAACTTAGGAGCTCCTGTCTTGTAATGTGTGCTGAGGCGGGCGAAGAAGGGGATGACTCTGGGGCGTGGGGCATTTCCACACCCAGACCAGCAAGTCTGTGTCATAGTGACCCTTTGAGAGGAGGTGGTTAATATAGTGGGTTAGATGTGGACTGGAGCCAGATGACCTAGATTCAAATTTAGGCTCCACTTTGGGCAAGCCGATTAAAATTCCTATGCCTCAGTATCCTCATCTGTAAAACAAGGTTAGTGATAGCCCCCAACTCAAGGCAGATCCACTCACAGAATTTTGCCAGTTTTTCCTCCTAAATTGAAGAGCATATACCAGTGGAGTTTGGGGAGAAGAGGACATGATTCAGAATTAGCAGGAAGGCGGGGTGATGTCACAGAAAGAAAGAAAAGGACCTGACTATTTTGTCCCCTGCCAGCTTTCTCACTAGATTGTAAGCTTCATCTGGGCAGAGACTTGCTTCTTACACTCCCAGCACCTGGCTGGGTGTATGCCATGCCATTGGCACTCAATAAATATTTGTTGAATGGCTAAATGCATTTTTATGCGTAACTTTAAACCAATTTGCTAAGTAGTTTTACATATTTGGATATGTATTTTCTAACTTCTAAGAGTTTGTGTTTAACAAAGTTAACTAAATTAACATCAATTTCTTTAACAACTAGAAACTATCTTTGAAGTATTTGTGACAATTTTCTTTTTGTTTATACAGGCCAGTTGGAATGCCAAAAATGGAAAAAGTTTACTTACATAATCCTAGCTCTGAAGAAACTATTACTTTAGTATCAATATCTGCTACAACATCACATTTTCATGCATCATTTTTTCAAAATAGGGTAAGTCTCTGATTTATAGCAGATTTCTCTAGAGTTTGAAATTTAAATGTCTAGATTTTTTTAATGTAAAATTTTATTTTGCTGTAATTGAAATCTCATTTGAATATCTCAGATTTGTTCTTGATTTCAGGTTGCCTCATTTCCTAAGAATTATCAGTTCTACTCTTAAACACATTTTTCTCAACACGAAACAGCTTAACAAATCAACTGTGATCCTTAAGCACTGAAAATATGGCATTCATATATTTAGTTGATTTTCTTTTCTTTCCTGATAATAGGTAATTCCTCACCATTGTGTTAGTTTTCTGTTGCTGTATAATAAATTCCCACAAACATGTCGGCTTAAAATGACACCCATTTATTAGCACATCGTTCTATAAGTCATAAGTCCTTTGGGTTCTTTGCTCAGGGTATCACAAGGCTGTGTAATTAAGATGTTGGCTGGGCTGAGTTTTGGACTGGAGACTCGGAAAATCCACTTCCATACTCATTCAGGTTGTTGGCAGAGCCTCAGTTACATCTGCAAAACCTATTTATTGTGTAATGTAGACAAGCCCAGGGGTGGTATCACCTCATATTGACAATCTCAGAGATTAGGGCAGGAAGTTTGAGGGGCTATTTTAGAGTTCTGCCTAACCACAGCTGTCTTCTAAAATTTTACTTATAATTATTTTGTAGGTAGTCTGCAAACTCGTTATTAAAAGTAAAACTTATCTGACAAAGAACCCTAATAAATTTTGAATTTGAGAGAATATATTAAGCTGTATAATATACAGGTTTCCAAAATAATTGGCTAAATATCAGAGTGGAGTAAATGAATGGAACCTGATTTCATCTTTCTTGGGTGTTCGTTCACTGACTCCTTTGAAGCAATATGACTAAAGAACTAAGGAGAAGCTTTTTTTAAGCACATAAAATTATGCCAGTTATTTAGATTTTTACATTTCTCCTTTCTAGAATCCTGTTTCACCATATGTTGTCATAAGCTAGCAGCTTCTAGAATAAAAAAAAAAAGTGACATTATTGGCTTTTTTGAATTTAAAGTATTTTGTATACAAGGAATTGGTAAATTAGCATAATTTTGATAATAAACATTTTAATATTTTGTGGTGCTCATAGAAAACATCCCTTTTTCTTAAATTTGTTTTTAATTATAGGTGACATACAATATTATATTAGTTTCAGGTGTACAAAATAGTGATTAGACATTTATATACTTTACGAAATGTTCAGCACAATAACCGGCACCCACCTGACACCATACATAATTGTTACAATATTACTATGTTCCCTGTACTGTGCTTCACATCCCTGTGGCTGTTATAACTGTCAATTTGTATTTCTTAATTCTTCACCTTTTTCAACTCATCCCCTCAGCCCCACTTTCATCGATGACCATCAGTTTGTTCTCTGTATCTGTGAGTTTGTTTCTGTTTTGTTGTTTTCAGATTCCACATATGAGTGTAATCATATGGTATTTGTCTTTCTCTGTCTGACTTATTTCACTTAGAATACCCTCTAGGTCCATCAATGCCAAAGGTGGCAAGATTTCATTCTTTTTTATGGCCAAGTAATATCTCATTGTTTGTGTATGTAAGAATGTGTGTGTGTGTACATACACACATATACACACCACATCTTCTTTATTCATTCATCTATCGATGGACACCTACGTTGCTTCCATATATTGACTATTACAGATGATGCTGCAGTGAACATAGGGGAGCATATATCTTTTTGAATTAATGCTTTTGATTTCTTCAAAAATTACCCCGAAGTGGGAATGCTGGGTCCTACCGTTGTTCAGTTTTTAGTTTTTTGAGTAACCTCCATAATGTGTTCCATAGTGGCTACACCTATTTACAATCCCACCAGCAGTGCTCGAGGGTTCTCTTTTCTCCACATCCTCACCACCATTTGTTCTGTTGTTTGTTGATTTATTGATAATAGCCATTTTGAAAAGTGTGAGGTGATACCATGGTTTTGATTTGCGTTTCCCTGTTGATTAGTGAAGTTGAATGTTATTTCATGTGTCTGCTAGCCATGTGTGTGTGTCCTCTTTGGAGAAATATCTATTCAGGTCCTCTGTCCAGTTGTTAATTGGATTGTTTGGGGGGGTTTTTTTGATGTTGAGTTGTATGAGTTCTTTGTACATTTTGGATATTAACTCCTTATTGGATATGTCATTTGCAAATATCTTCTTCCATTAAGTAGGTTGCCTATTTGTTTTGTTGAAAGTTTCCTTTGCTGTGCAAAATCTTCTTAGTTTGATGTAGACCCATTTGCTTATTTTTGCTTTTGTTGTCTTTGCCCTAGGAGACATATCCAAAAAAAAAACATCATTAAGACTGATGTGAAAGAGTTTGCTGCCTGTATTTTATTCTAGTTCTTTGGTTTCAGGTCTTATATTTAAGTCTTTAATCCATTTTTAGTTTATTTTTGTATATGGTGTAAGAAAGTTGTCTAGTTTCATTTTTTGCATATATCTCTCTAGTTTTCCCAACACCATTTATTGAAGAGACTGTCTTTACCCCACTGTATATTCTTGCCTCCTTTGTCATAGGTTAAATGACCATATAAGCATGGGTTTATTTCTGGACTCTTTATTTTGTTCCATTGATCTTTGTGTCTGTTTTTGTCCCAGTACCATGCTATTTTGATTATAATAGCCTTGTAGTATAGTTTGATATCTGAGCATGATACCGACTTTGTTCCTCTTAAGATTGCTTTGGCTCCTTGGGGTCTTTTGTGTTTCCATATAAATTTTAAGATTATTTGTTTTAGGTCTATGAAAAATGCCATTGGTATTTTGATAGATATTGCCTTGATTCTGTAGATCACTTTGGGTAGTATGGACATTTTAACAGTATATATTCTTCCAACCCATGAACATGATATGTCCTTCTGTTTATTTGTATCTTTGGTTTCTATCATCAATGTCTTATAGTTTTCCAAATACAGGTCTTTTTCTTCATTGGTTAAATTTATTCCTAGGTTTTTTGTTCTTTTTTTTTTTGTACAATTGTAAATGGAATCTTTTTCTTAATTTCTCTTTTCAATGATTTATTACTAATGTATAGAAATACAATGGATTTCTGTATATTTTGTATCCTGCAACTTTACTGAATTAATTTGTTCTAATAGCTTTTTGGTGGAGTCTTTATACAGAGTATCATGTCATCTTCAAATAATGAGAATTTTACTTTTTCATTTCCAATTTGGATGCCTTTTATTTCTTGTCTGACTGCTGTGGCAAGGACTTCAATAATACGTTGAATAAAAGTGGTGAAAGTGGACATTCTTGTTCCTGGTCTTCAAAAAAAAATGCTTTTAGCTTTTTACCATTGAATATGATGTTCGCTGTGGATCTGTCATGTGTGGCCTATATTATGTTGAGGTATGTTTCCTCTATACCCACTTCGTTGAGAGTTTTTATCATAAATGGATGAGGAATTTTTTCATGTTTTTTTTCTGCATCTCTTGATATAATCATGATTTTTATCCTTTTTGTTTATGAGGTATATTACATTGATTTGTGGATATTGAACCAACTTTACATTCCTAGAATAAATCCCACTTGATCTTGTTGTATGATCTTTTTAATGTATTGCTGAATTTGGTTTGCTAATATCTTGTTGAGGATTTTTATATCTGTGTTCATCCAGGGACATTTGGCCTGTAATTTACCTTTTCTCTGTAGTGTCTTTGTCTTGTTTCAATATCAGGATCAAGCTGGCCTCGTAGAATGAGTTTCGAAGCTTTCCCTCTTTGATTTTTTGGAATAGTTTGAGAAGGACAGGTATTAATTCTTTAAATGTTTGGTAGAATCACCTATGAAGCCATCTGGTTCTGAAAACGTCTCTTGTCTAAAATATTGTTTTAAATTTCTCTTGTTCTTCATTGTTACATAAAAGATGTTTTCACAATTTTTATAATTATATAAAATATTTATTAAAGTGAGAGTTCCCTCAAGCCATTTTTCACATTGTTACTTAAAAGATGTTTTAACAACTTTTACAAATTAGCTAATAGTCTTAAATAATAGAATCTCAATATTGGGAGACTCCTGTGTATTCATCCAGTCCAGTAACCTCATTATATAAATCAAGAGCTAAAGCCCAGAGGGGTTTGCCCCTGGTCATGCAGTTAGGGTCTGGGTGTTCTGTTGGCCTAACCCAGTGATTTGTATCGTATTAAACCACAGTTTGCAGCATATACATAACAGACTTTTTATAGAGATGCACTTGTATGAATGGAAGCACTCAGCTTTCAGGCATTGCCAGTGTACAGAGACATGTTAGGTTAAAGGGCAAATAGTGAAGTGAAAATGGAAACAGTTTAAAAATAGTTCACAACCACACTACAGATTTTATTTTTAACTCGTTAACTGTCTTTGCTAATTCAAGCAGCATTTTGTTTTTTCTAAACATCCAGCTACACCTTGTTAAAGGCCAGGTTTTTACATTTTTCATGGAGCTTTTACAATACAGAGACTAGCCCAAGAGTTACAAACACAGATTGTTAGAGGCCAGGTAAACAATGTAAGCAATAAAAACAAGCCAAGTGACATGAGGGGACCTGGAGAGCACATGGCCCATCCGAAGGTATCGGCCCTCAGTTGGCTCCAGCCAGCGGTTGCCATGTGGGGGTATAAGCCCATGCACAGTTTTTTTGATTTGCCAAGAAGAATAAGAAATAGGAATTTTTATATGATATCCCAATTTTTACACATTGAAAATGAATTTAGCTTTAGAAAGACAGATGGTATGGACCAAACAAAACAAGCCCAAGGCCACCAGTTTGACATTTCCAAACTGGACTCTCCCAGGGATGTAATTCTACACATGAACCTTACATAGAGAGAATCATTTCTCTGAAAATTCTTCAAAAGATAATAAACTAAATATGTATGTAGTCAGAGAACTAGTTAAAAACCATCCCGTGTTTTCCACTCTCAGGAGATGGAATTAAACAGTAAAAAGAACCTATTCCTGTCAGAA